CGCCTCCACAGGCCTCCCTGCCTCCTTGAGTCTCTCAAATTTTAAGCCATTTATCACCCAAGTGTGCTATCTAGGAGAAAGTTGCACTTTTGTGGAAAATTCCCCCCTTCTTTTCACCAAAGTTTACTCTCCCTGAAGGGCTGGCGAGGGGTCACAGCAGGGCGGTGGTGAGTGTGAGTCATCCTACAGGGGAACAGGAGGTCCCTGGTCTGGATGCCCAAGACACCCAAGAGGAGAGGGACTGTCCTCTTTTATTGTTCAGTTGCTCAGTCATGTCTGACTCTTTGCCACTCCCGGAGCTTGCTCAAACTCTTGTCCATTGAGTCGGTGATGCCATCCAACCATCTTATCCTCTGTCACCCCCTTCTCCTCTTGCCTTCAATCTTTCCCAGCTTCAGGGCCTTTTCCAATGAGTCACTTCTTGCATCAGATGGCCCAAGTATTGGAGTTTCAGCTTCAGTCCTTCCAATGAATATTCAGGGCTGCTTTCCTTTAGGATTGACTGGTTTGGTCTCTTTGCAGTCCAGGAGACTCTCAAAGCATCTTCTCCAGCCGTGACGGTTCTCTCACAGGCCGTTCCTGTTTGAATCAGGTAATGGAAAGCCAAGAGCAAGGGCGTCCTTTTGGCATCTCACAACACTAAAACATGCCTGGGTTTTAGAAGATGAGACAAGAGATTGGAGCCTTTGCAGCACCAGCTGGCTCCCTGCCCGTGTCCTTGAAGGCCCAGAAGGGCCCATGCAGGCGGACCGTGCCTAGTCACAGACGCAGCCAGTGCTGCATCGTGGGGATTCTGGCTAAATTTAGCACCAGATTTCCCTGCACTGCTGCAGTCATCCTGAGTCACCTCCCTCTGTCTTTGCCGGAACGACAACGCCGCAGAGCCTCTGCTGTCCCGGGCTTGGTGGAGGTCACAGCCCTGTCAACTCTGAGTACAGCTGATGTTTGCTTTTTCTGCAGCAAGAGAGAGAAGGGGGAGCCAGTTGTGTGGTCTGTTTTCCTTCTCAGCCTGCAGGTTGCATGCTGATCAGATATGAACGTTTTGCTTCTTTTTCTATTCCTTTTCAAATCTAGGACTATCCGATGCGACAGCTTGGCAGTCCTGGAGATAAGGGTCCTGTGTCCACATGGGCTGTGGGTTCCTGCAGAAACACACACACACACAAGTACACATGCACACACACACACACCGCACACACACACACAAATACACATGCATACACATGCACAGAGATACACAGACACACTTGCACACACACACAAATACACACCCATACCCACACTAGCATACACATACAAATGCACACACACACAAATACACATGCACATACAAATACACGTGTACACACACAAATAAACACACATATCCAGCAATACATACACACACAAAAAAAATACACACAAGCACAGACAGCCATCTGGAAGGAGCCCTTGGGGACTAGAGGGTCCACTCAGCGCCCAGCTGGGTCACTCCGGGTATGGACGTCTGCACACACTGATGCCAGGAGGACCTCGGCCCTTCCAGGAGCAGGTTCCTTTCTTGTTCTTGCAAGGATGATTATTTTGACAGTCTTCTCACTGCTCAGTTTTCATGCTTTCCTCTTCTCTGACTTAATTGCCCTGGTCCTCAAACTGTAGGATCCAAGGGGCTCTTAGCCAAGCTCCCAACTGGACACAGGGCACCCACTCCCATGATGGTGCTGCTCTGGGAAGCTCCCCCCTCCCCCGTCATACTCTAGTTGCTGTTTTACGATAAAACACAAGAGTGTGTCACTCCCTACGTGACTCAGACACGCACACCTGCCCCTTCAGTGACCTGAGAATCTCGCTGATGGAACTGGTCACACGTCCAGTCCATGTGCCCCAAACTAGACCCCAAGGCTCATGCATCCAGGCTACTTGTACCTTTAATCCCCAGAAGATCCCTGGGGTCCATTCTTACTCATCACAGCGTCCTTCTCAGCTTCTCAGGAAACAGTTGTTGACTCAACTGTGACCAGTGGAGCATGGGGCTGACTCACCACAGACATGTCCTCAGTCCTGAAAACACATCCCTGCCCACCCCCCACTGTGAGTAGCCACACCCCCACCCCCCCGCCTCCCCTCCACACACACAGTGGCTCCACATCTGTCCCATCTCTCATTTTCAAGACAGAAGCCACGATTTGGGCTGATAGTCCCAGGACAATGGCAGTTGCTACAAAGGGGTCGCAACTATCATCACCCCCTCTTCCCTGGATAAAGTAAGGTCTTAGCGCTGTCAGTGGGCAGCCTGGGCAGCATCCCTCCGAAGACTGGGTCACAGTTCCACCAGCACCATGCCCACCTGGGGCCAGGGTTCCATCTGTGCCATGCCCACCTGGAAACAGGGTTCCATCTGTGCCACACCCACCCTGGGCCTGCACTTGCCTGGAACAGGATGGACCGGGAGGGAGGAGAAAAAAGGTTTCACGGAGTCACACAGCTCCTAGGAACCAGGATTTCCTCTTCTCAGCCCAGTCCCCAAACTCCCAAGATCTCAGGGAAAACCACTTAGAATCCTTCCTTTTCTCCCTGTGGGCATGTCTTTCCCTTCTGGCCTCACTCTGCTCTCAAATCAGGCAACTCCAATCATGTTTTGCAATCCTGTTGGTGGAGAGCTGAGGTGACCCATGGACCCAAAGCCATCTCCGTGGGAAAGAAATCCTGCCAGTAAAGATATGGTAGCTATGGAACTCTTAAAATCTTCCAAAGCTTTCCAGTTCCCAAATGTCCACAGCTCCCTCATAGACACAATCTGGTACCACACACAGTGCCTGAGTTATTCACATTTTAAAAATAAGCCTACTACCCATATACACGAGCATCTTAAAATGTATGAGGATAGCCTTCATCTAACAAATATTTCCAGTGAGAAACTTTGTGCTTGGAGCTGTGCTGAGAGGCTGCCAGAGACCTATCTCCACACTCACAAAGCTCAAGTCCGAGAGGCTAACGGGCATGAGCAAAGCACTCCAAATGGACTGAAGAACCCTGAATGGGCAGGACCTGGTGCTGTGCAGGCTTTTCAAAGTGGGCAGGGGGGATGCAGACCAGGAACAGCTTCCCCAAGAAAGAGAGACTTTGGCACTGAGATTACGGAGTTAGTACAGGAAAGCAGGAGGGAGACATTCCAGGCAGAGGGACCAACAAGGGTGACGCTCTGGGGCCAAGAAGACCAGGAAGGTCTACCACCAGGAAGACCCTCGGTTAGAGGCTAGAGAGGAGAGCTCCAAGGACAAGGTAGCGGTCAGCAGAGACCAGTCTCAGGGTCCTCTAAGCCCTGCTTACATGTGGACATAGGCACAGCTGTGGATCTGCTGTTGACACTACCTGTGGGCAACAAATCAGCTCTTTGTGTAAAGTGGAATTTTTACACCCAAGACCCATAGAATGTTGAGTTGAATGGTACCTTAAGAAATGCCTAATCCAAGAATCATGGATGAATTGGTGTAAAAATTCCTCCCTGAACCCACCCTACAGTGTTTTTGAGTTCATCGCTTGTTTATGTGTAACTCAAACTGTTAGATATTTCTTTCAACCCAAATCTGCCTTCTTGAAACTTCCATCATGCTTGTGTCCTTTGGAGTTTTCCCACCTGACAGCTTCTCAGATGTTTAAAGACAGCCATCTCATCGCCATTATGTACTCTCTTCCTCAGGCTAAAAATGCCTAATTCTCCCAAATCCGCATATTGCACTATTCCAGACCCTGTCATTACACTATTGTTGTCTCACAGGATGGCCTTAGTTTGTCAACAGAAAACAAATCATATTTGCTTTTGAAAACACATCTAAATACATAAACTGGATTATTAACCTGTTTTGCTTATCTCTAGTGTCTTTGCCTTAAACACTAAACCTAGCTTGCCCGACTTTCAGGAACCACAAGTTGTCTCTGTAATTTTAGAGGCTCTTGAAGGACTTGGTAATGTATTCTACAAAAAAAAGGTTTGTTAAATGTCATTAGTTAACTGAATGGTCTTTTTTTTTTTTCCCTGAGTAAATGACGTAGTTTAGCAGAGTTCACAAAATCCGAAAGGATCTGTGCAATGACACACACTTTTTTTTTCCACAAACTACAGTGAATGTACCACAGACCTCTGAGGCCAGCAGAAGTCAGCCCCATCCTCCTCAAGTGGACTTCCACAGGGCAAACAGCAGCCTCACATAAAAGGTCAGTGTGGTCTGCTGGCCACCATTGCACAGTTTATTCCCACTACTAATTCCTGCCAGCCCCTCCAGCCAGAATCAACCCTAACTGCCAAGGTTGTTGGTTATCTGTGTAATTCTGTGATCAGAGAGGGCTTCCCACATGGCACTAGTGATAAAGACCCTACCTGCCAACACAGGAGACATAAGAGTTGTGCGTTCGATCCCTGGGACAGAGCTTTTCCATGAAGCTAGTGGGGGTTCTGGGGAAGAAGATATTGAGATTACTTTGTCTTTTCAATCCATTGTCCATTTCACCTTAAAATCTGTCAGGAAATTGCCGTGAAGCAACATGTTTATCATGATTTTAAAAAACAATGTGCTATTATGTTTCCTGGAGAAGGCAATGGCAACCCACTCCAGTACCCTTGCCTGGAAAATCCCATGGACGGAGGAGCCTGGTAGGCTGCAGTCCATGGGGTTGCTAAGAGTCTGACACGACTGCAACGACTTAGCAGCAGCAGCAGCATTATGTTATCATGATCTCTGAAAACACCCTGTAACATAAGTGTGATAACCATGATACACCATCAGGAGATACCCACATGGCAAGGTGATGCAGGTTCAAAAATAAATCTGAAATACCTCCATGTCCCTGTGACAAAAAACACTGAAATAAGCCAAACAACAAGGTCACCTGTAACAGGAATACAAGACAGGAGCCAAGTAAAATCACTTAGTCATCAAGACTGGTGGCTGTTTGTGAGGATTTGTTCTGAGACAAATCCTCGCCTCCCTGTACCCGACTCAACTCCAGAGCTATCAGGGCACCTGTGAGGCCAGTCCCAGCCAGCTCTCCACCTGTGTGGACCTCTCCACCAGGAAGTCGCCCAGCCCAACCTCACGGCTCTGAGTAGCCTTAGAGCACCAAGTCGGCCTCTCTCCGGGGTCCAGGGCAGAGTGGATGGGATGATTCAGTGCCCCCAACACCTGCTCCCCTCCGCTCCAGATCCCGGCTCTGGGTGGGACCTGCCTCTGTGAAACTACTCCGTAAGCACTGCTCTTATCCAGCTCAGGAAAACCACAGATCCTCTGACCAAATAAAAAGCCTTGTTCTTCTTGGAGCACAGTTTTCATATCTTCTTTTCAGTCACATTCAACATGCATCAGACTCTTTTGCTGATTTCTAAAACCAATACATACACAAACGTAGCACAAGTGCTTTGGGGAAGGAGCCCCGGGGCCCACAGAGGGGCTACACTCTGACCTATGAGAGGAAAAAGAGGGCAAAGAGAAGGATACAAAGACAAGAAAGAACACTCAGACTCGGGACGGGGGCGGGGTGGGGGTCACAGGAGAGCACGGATGCTTCCCCTCCCTACCCACCCTGAGACTCACCTCTGCTTTATAGAGGTTCTGGGAGGAGGCCTTGAGCTCATTTTACGTATTGGAGTATAGTTGGCTTACAGTGTTGCATTAGTTTCAGGTGTATGGCAAAATGATTCAGTTGGGGGCACATATGTTGCGGACAGGGCTTCCCTGGTGGTTCAGAGGGTAAAGAATCTACCTGCAATGCAGCAGACATGTGTTTGATCCCTGGGTCAGGAAGACTCCCTGGAGGAGGAAATGGCAGCCCACTCCAGTATTCTTGCCTGGATAAACTCATGGACAGAGGAGCCTGGCGGGCTACGGTCCATAGGGTGGCAAAGAGTTGGACACGACTGAAGCGACTTAGCACGCACGCATCTGTTAACCCCACTCCTAATTTATCCCTCCCTTCCCCTTTCCCTTTGGTAACCGTTAAGTTTGCTTTCTATGTCTATGAGTCTATTTCTGTTTTGTATCTAAGCTCATTTGTATCATACATTTTTTTTAGATTCTACATATAAGCAACCTCAGATGCTATTTTCCTGTTTCACGTGCTTCACTTAGTAGGATAATCTCTAGGTCCATCCCTGTTGCAGCAATTGGCATCATCTCATTCTTTAGGGGGTCGGGGGTGGAGTGACCTCCAACTCTCCCCAAGCTGAGGTGTTCTGCGCTGAGCCCAGAACGTGGAAGCAAACACATCACAAATGCCCTCAGTGACCTTTTGGCACCTCAGAGTGCACGTGAGATGAAAAGACACCCCTAGTCACATCAGAGAAGGAGGGAAGTCCACCACAGTGTGTTTAGAAGCAAATGTCTGAAGATAAGGCAGAACGGTCCCCTGGTTTCCGCTTGATAAGACAATCCGGTCTCACCTGTTTTGCCTCCCCGGTGAGTTCTCCCTGAAGCAGTATTAGTTTCCCACTGGAATGTTTCCTGTGTTCATCGGATCGCACTCGGAGCAACTGCGGAATCCCTGCCCGCTGGCCACAGCTGCACACATTCCTGGGCCGAGTCTTGCTGGGGCTGTGGGGCAGCAGGGCCGCCAGACCGGATGCCACGTGTGGAAAGGGGGAGACAGAGACATGGTGAGAAACGGAGAATCAGAGAGAGAGGGGGTAGTTTTGAAGAGGACAGCAACCCAAGCCAAAAGCCCACAGCACACGGGAGTCTTCAAGAAACCACATTCACCTCTCAAAAGAGAAACAGATATGGAACCAACTAATTCTCAGAGAACCAGCTCTCTTAGCTCCACACGTCTGTCGGTGCTGAGGCTCTCTTGCCCTGTGTGTTTAAAGTGAGAATGAGAAACAGTTGCAATAGCTAGAAAATTAGTGTCTAAGCTGAAAATCGTCGTCTCCCAGTTAAAAATTCCTCCCTCTGGGCTTCCCTTGTGGCTCAGCTGGTAAAGAATCTGCCTGTAATGCAAGAGACCTGGGTTCGATCCCTGGGTTGGGAAGATCCCCTGGAGAAGGGAAAGGCTACCCACTCCAGTATTCTGGCCTGGATAATTCCATGGGCTGTATAGTCCACGGGGTCGCAAAGAGTCGAACACAACCGAGCGAACTTCACTCACTCACTCTCTCTCCCTTAACTCCAGAAGGGAGTTAAGAAAACTCAGGAGTGATTTCAGGTTTATAGGAATTCTGTGCGTTAACACTTTGGATTTTGACATATCGACATGTATGAATTGAGAGAGTAGCTTGGAAACATATACATTACCATATGTAAAATTAGATAGAATTTGCTGTATGATGCAGGGAGCTCAAATCAGATGCTCTGTGACAATCTAGAGCAGTGGGACGGAGTGGGAGGTGGGGGGTAGGTTCAAGAGAGAAGGGGCATATGTCTATATGCTCAGTCAATAAATCGTGTCTGACTCTTTGTAATCCGATGTAGCCCACCAGGCTCCTCTGTCCGTGGGATTCTCCAGGCAAGAACACTGGAGTGGGCTGTCATGTCCTCCTTCAGAGGATCTTCCCAACCCATAGATCAATCCTGTATCTTGTGCATTGTAGGCAGATTCTTTACCACTGAGCCACCTGCGAAGCCCATAGGTATATATATCTATGGCTGATTCATGTTGAGATATGGCAGAAATCAACACAATATTGTAAACCAATTATCCTCCAATTCAAAATAAATTTAAATTAAAAAACACATGGGGTATGATATACTTTATAATTAACCCATGTGTATAACACTGCTTTTCAGGATTTTTAAGATCATATGAGACAGAGAATGTCAAAATGCTTACATGGGTGAACTACTTTATTCCTATTTGTATCTCATGTTTCTTTCTTTTATTTTTTTAATTAATTAATTATTTGGTTTTGGCTGCACTGGTCTTCTATGCTTTGTTAGGACTTTCTCTGCTTGTGACATGCAGAGTTAACTCTTCATCGCAGTGCGCAGGCATCTCATCAAGGTGGTGTCTCTTGTTGTGGAGCACGGGCTCTAGGGTGTGCGGGCTCCAGTAGTTGCCCCACATGGGCTCAGTGATTTAACCCCCCTAGTTGCTCCACAGCACGTGGAATCTTCCTGGACTAGGGATTGAACCTACATCCCCTGCATTGACAGGTGAGTTCTTATCCAGTGCACCAGCAGAGAAGTCCTTATGTTTCTTTAAAACATTTTTTATACTGTTCTTTTTTTCATTTTCTTTTAGATGGTGATTTCATCTAAGTGTCTTATGAAAAAGGTGTTAAAGTTATGGAAATGAGTTGAATCAAGACTTTTTAGCTCTTTCCTTAAGTTCCATTTTCCAGTTTTTACAGGAAGTCATTGTTATTTTCCTCCAAGTATTTTCAAAGGTCACATTTCATTGTAGATGAAAAAGTATCACATACAGAATAGTATCAAATATAGAAAAAGCATTGTGTATAGTAATAGCAACTATTGCTTTTTTGACCTCTGACATAATACAGTTTATCTAATTCCAGGTTATGTTGCTGTTACTATTGTTTAAAATCAGAGAGTCTGTATTTAATCCCCTCGCATATTACTAAACACATTAGTTTTCTGCTTTCTAGCTCCGTCTTGACTGGTATTAGTCTTCTCTGCCAGCTGAGCAATATTTTCAAATGTAAATATACACTGAAAGGAAATTATTCAATATTAAACTGTGGATTGTGGTGACATTAATGACCTTAGGTTACTGATTGCCCAGGCTACAGGTGCCACCTTGAATGTGCAGCTCACCAATAACTATTATACTGAATGTCACCACGGTAAACAAACAGATTGACTCTCTTGTATTTCAAGTTTAAAGATACTTTTAAAGTTTAGTTCTTGCCAGCAAATCATCATATTATAAGCTAGAAGAGTCTTTAAGAGATCTGCTCATCAGTAGCAAAATTCTTGTCTCTTCCATTTTAAATAAACTCCTTGGCCAGCACCTCTTACCCTGTAGGAAGTCCATTTTATTTCTCCCTTTATAATTTGTTTTTTCAAGCTGAGTCCATGTAATGAATGGTCTGTCAAAGTGTGTCCATTTATGTATTTTTATTTTTCATGAATCAGAACCCTTGTGAATTTCTATTTTAGCAATATATTTTTTTAAGATTTTGGTTTAAACTATCCTTTCTGAATTTTTGTGTGTGTGAATTTTTATTTCATTAAATTCAGCTTTGATCATTAGTCATTCTCTCTGGTCGGGAAGATGCCCTGGAGAAGGAAATGGCAACCCACATGAGTACTCTTGCCTGGAGAATCCTATAGACGGAGGAGCCTGGGGGGCTACAGTCCACGGGGTCTCAAAGATTCGGACATGACTGAGCAACTTCACCTCACTTCCTGGTTTCTTGAGTTTATTTTGTTTCTAATTCCTTCAGGTGATTTTCTGATTTTATCTTTTCCTAGTTCCTTTCGTTGTTGTCCTATCTTACTTTAGAATTACCAAATATTACTTCAAATTGTGATCCTTAAAGTTGAGTCTCCCCAGTGACCGCCTCATCTTTATCTAGCCCATCAGCTCTTTTTTTTAGGAAATCATGTTTTCAGATTTAGACAGTGAAGTGTTCTTAAGTATCTCTTTCGCAGGTTTTACGTTTCCCTCCAGGAATCTGACCACACTTCCCCTCTCTGCACGGTTAGTGAACTTCCATTTGGCAGGGACTGTGCTCCAGCCGAGTCCAAGGGCCCAGGCGGTGTCCTCGCAGTGATGGACCCACAGTGGTCCCTCCCTCTAGGTCACACGTTCAGGCAGAGGATCTGCTGATCCCACCACCAACCCCACACGCCTCCTGAAAGTGAGGGCCCACCTCCTGCTCAGTCTCTCCCCGTCTCACGGAGGCCCCCGGCATCCACGCCACCTTGGAGAGCCCTGGTGACACACAGGTGCCCAGATCTCTCTGGGCCACGCTCTGTCCCGGATGCCCTGTTTCCGGCCCTTAACTTGGGCTCCTTGTCAGTTCTCCAGACACTTTCCCTTCTCAGGGGCCAAACAAGGATTGTTCCCTCCACTGAGGTCCCAGAAACCAGGGCTTCCATTGCTCCCAGTCAGTACTCCCAGGCCCCAGAGCTGAACGAGGGGCGGGGGTGGAGGGGCAGGGTCTGTACCACCACTGGGAAGGGTCTGCTGTCATCCTCTCTCTTCTCATTACCCACAGGCTAACCATGCTTCTGAGGGCTCGTTTACAAAAGCTAGTGCTTGTAAACTGTTTCCGGATTCTAATCACCTCCCTGCAGCCCAGCAGTTGGCATGTGGGAATCCTCCAGAACTTTCCTAAACATCCTGCCTCTGGAG